ACCAGGGCAGGGGGACAGGGACAGGGGATTAGGAGAATTAGTTTTAATCTACACGAATCTTACCAACTAGTAAAATTTAAAATAAAACAAAGCCTAACAATATCCATTAATCGACTCAAAACAGCCCAAAAATATTCACAAGTTAAGATGATCATCAGCACATTGATACCAAGAAAATTATGAGATTTTGTACAGTTAGCTGATTGATACAAATACCAAACCATCAAAGCATCGCCATTGTTATGAAATAGGGATGCCAAGAAATTCAGCAGCAGACCTAGCCATAACAGTTGCAAACTCATTAAAACTAATAACACCATCTCCATCAACATCAGCCTCTTTAATCATCTCTGTTAGTTCACGATACGTTAACGGCTGTCCCATTTTAGCCATTGATCCAGCTAGCTCCGCTAACGTAATATAACCATTGCCATCTCGATCAAACGATCGAAAAACTTCCAAAAGCTGTCCCTGATTTTCCAATATTTCTCCATTAATTAAATCAGGCATAATTGCATTGACAAGTTCATCAAATTCCACAGCTCCATTTCCATTAGAATCCATGTTGTCTAAAAGAACATGAATTTGATCCCCAGATGGTTTTATACCCAACGAACGTAATAGTGCAGCTAGTTCTAAATGTGTGAGACTACCATCATCGTCCATGTCAAATCTTGAAAATATGTTTCGTAATTGGTCAAGTTGATCATCTTGAAGAATTGACATAATTTGATTTCCCCCTTTTCTCCCCTCTAATAATAATGGCTTGATCATTTGCATATTTTTTGGTATTATTAGCTAAAGGATAATAGAATGAGAAACGAAAAAAGAGGACACAGAAAAGGAAAGAGGTAAAAATAGGAAGAGAAAATCGGTGGTGATGAGAGGAGATTGTGCAGTGTTAAAGAGATGTGAGTTCAGTCAAGGCGTAGAATTGGTCAGTTAGAATTGAAAGCAATATATATGGGTTCCATGTAATGACTATTGATCACGCCCAACTATGCCTTATAAAAAGGACAATGCGGTCATTGCAAATATAATCCGGTTTACAAGTCCGGAATCGAATCCCACATAGAACTAAGGTTTAGCTACAGCTATTCACTATCACCAAGAAGACAAGCTTGAACAATTCCTAACTTATAGATATTAAGATTCTTGTGTTTAACTACTTAACTAACAAATTAAAATAGTAAATTAACAACTAACGATACTGAGGGTTAGAGAAAAGATTAAGGAGGTCTAGAGTTATGATTTCCCCAATTGTCGGAATCCTTCCCGCTATGTCTTCTATAATTTCGCCTAAGTATTCTCTACCGATCATGAGCACTCTTATTACCGTAAATCTCTCCCGAGTAATTACGACAATTTACTAGACGCACTCTCCCGAGCTACGCTAGCTGGCTTTTAATACAGCTCACTTCAGATCACACCCAAGGCTTCGTTATCCCTAATCCCACCTTTAAACCCTCGGTTATTGATCCCTCATATACTCCGGGAGTGGTGTTGTTCAACAATTACCTAAATATGCACTCTCTCCCGAGTTATACATACTAAATAGGCACAGCTAATTGAGAGCTCTTCAATCAACCAGAATATAAACGTAGTTGAACAAATAGAGAAAAGCTATGGCTCAATTATATAAAAACATAACAAGAATTTATCCTACAAAAGGTTCTATCAAAACTCTAGATAACAAATTAGCTATTCATAATAGTATGTAAAACTATAATACTAAAAGTCATAACCAACAATGAAAAATAGGAAGAGGAAGGAAAAACTCGTAGAAGAATTCTCCGCCTTGCTCCAATGTGTTCTTGCCTCCTTAGGTCGAATCTATGTCCAAAATATGACCCCTCCCCTTCAAAATAGGTTTAGGACCCCTTTTATACAAGTTGGAATAGTGTAGGACCGAAATAAACTTGTCCCGGGCGAAATAGGACTCCTTTTTGACGCCTGGAGGGGCGCGGCCGCGGTCAAAACGCGGTAGGACCGCGGCCAGACAAGCTCTCTGATTTCTGCCGCGGTCAGTTCCGCGGTCGCGGTTTCGACCGCGTTTTTAACCCTGTTCCGTTTGGAATTTGGAAAAACGTAAAACATGAAAGTTGTAGCCCTTTGAATTAGCTTTCCAACCATATATTGTGGAGCCCAAATGGAGTTCTGAGCAAAAATTTATGTGCATTTTACTAGACAGTGCGCAATATGCCTACTCGAGTCTTCGTTTTGTTGTTTTATCATCCGTTGATCCCTGAATACGATCCCGGCTTAATTCCTTGGGCTTTTACTCAGACTTCAAAGCTCCAAATCACTTGAATTCATTGCATAACATCTATATATCTCGGAATCACTCCTACAAGGCATAAAACACACCGTTAGTGCAAAACACTAGCGATTAAAGCGCAAACTCAATTAAAGTGCAGTAAATTAGAGTGTAATAAGCGACTAAAATACATAATTATAGCCTATCATCAATTATTTTGTAGTAAAGAATTGGGCGTCGGTGGATTTAATTTAATTTAATTTAATTTTTAGCCTAAAGTTGGAAGGATGAAGTTCAATGTATCATTCAGGGGAACTTTCCTAGTTCAGTCCTTAAATAAAAAAATAAAAAATAGAAAGAACCGTTCGTATGTCAGTTCTTTGAATTTTCCTAGAGTAAATTGTGTCCATGAGGTGGGTCGTTTCACTAGTGGATTTAATTTTGTGCTCATCATTCAACTCAAAACTTAAAAAGTAATGGACTTTAAATTATATATACTGATTACAACTTAATTATTATTTTTATAAACTATTAATTAACGGTTATTAAAGATTTACGTATATTTATCTTCTTATAAATAAACATGATAGAGCATTGAAATATTATGGACCCAAATAGAGCATTTATGATATTAAGGAGTCATACCAACTGAGAGCAACTAGTGACGGGAGCGGGTTCGGCCGAACTTGATAATTTTGGTTCTAATCCTGTATTTGTCTTAAAATTTTATTGAATAGGTATAAATTATTAATTTAGAACCCAATAACATCAAACCATTAGAATCCCAAACCCATAAACTTGAAATCCTGACTTTTATATTTGTTTATTTATGCCCTCTCATCACGTTGTCGCAGACAAATGGTGACCAACAGTCAACAGCAAATTCCTTCTTCTTCTTTTTTTTGTTTCAATAGAGCAAATTCCTAGTCCACTACATTGAGACTAAGAAAGAGATCTGTAACAGAAAGAGAAACAGATACTGTTCTCTTGGGTCTGAAGTCCGAACAATTCAACTTTGCTCTTTGGACTTTGCTGAATGATATTAATTTTGTGATTATCTCTGATCTTGTGCAAAGAATCTTTTACTTTACTTTGCACACATCATTACTAGAATATAATTTGAACAATGTGATAAAAAACTGGTGCAAGTTGATGCTAGAAGTAATAAGCTCTCTTTGCAATTAATGAAATTTGGATCAGGTTTCTAATATTTCAGTTTGGTTGGAAGATGATCATGATCCAGCTTAAATTTTTATTATTCCCCCAAAAGTTATACTTTATGCTTATTTGCCCAAAACAAAGATCTAAAAGTTGGATTATAATTGCTCAAATTCTTCATTTTCATCTGTCATCTCAGCATCCAAATATCAGGGATATGTACGTACTTGAATCCCTGGATGTCTCGATTGATTTATCTCTAATCCAACCATGTTTTCGTGGAAACTCGGCCTTGTGTGTATTCGGTATACAGGCCAATCCCCTGCATAGCAGGGGCAGATTTATAGCTCAACATATGGGGCACGTGAACTCATATTTTTTCTGCCAAATTAGATATTTGTGTACAAATATTTCATAATTGATTTAATATTATTTACTGGCATTCATACTCTAAAGAGGCTAAATGTTGCACTTAGTTGAAGGTGGTTATTTACATAGAGGAGCAGGGATCAACTTCTACTTCTCTTTCCTTTAGCAGTGTACCCATGTTACAAAAATTCTAGATCCGCCTCTGCTGCATAGAGGAGATTGGTAAACACAAGTACTAGCAGCAATGGCATTTCCTATTATAGTGGTAGTAATAGTTTTGATGCTGGGATTTCTCTACTACTTCCAGAGGAGTAATCACTAACAGTTCTTGCAAAAAAGTAGCACAGAAACCACAACATGGAAGTAAAACATATACAATATTTTATTTGTTTTTATCAAAATTTCGGCAATGAAACAATAATTTCCACCTTAGCTGAGCTGCGAGTGCCCCAGCATCAATGGCGGAAGCTTCACACCATGAACTCAATGGTATTCGAAGAAGAAGAAGGAGAAGATAACCAGATGAAATTCTGGAAGAAAAGGAGATTCTACTACATTCATTCAATTTCTAAATTGAGTGGAACTCCTCCCACTATATACAAGAGTGTAAGGACAAAGCTAACTAACTAAAATCAATTGACAGCTGTCACTACTCTTGACTAACTATACTTAACCACCAAGCTAACTAACTAACGCTAACAAAACTAACAAAGCTGATTATATAGACTAATGGAAAATAATTAATCTTAACACCCTCCCTCCCCCCCCCCCCCTCAAGTTGGAGGTGTTGCAAACACAGCCAACTTGCCCAATGTGGCACTATGTTTGATTCCAGTTAAGGCTTTAGTCAAAATATCTGCCAGTTGACTGTCTGTTCCAATGTGGTGGAGTGAAACTAATCCTGCTTGTAATTGATCGCGCACGAAGTGACAGTCCACTTCTATGTGTTTGGTTCTCTCGTGCAAGACTGGATTCTTGGCAATATGAAGTGCAGATTGACTGTCACAGAACACTGAAATAGACATTGGAAAAGGGACATCTAGTTCTTCAAACAGCCTGCTCAACCATACCAGTTCCTCCACTACTTTCCTCAAAGCCCCGTACTCTGCTTCTGCAGAAGATAGTGATATAGTTTCCTGTTTCTTGGACTTCTAACTGACAGGGCTATTTCCCAGAAGCACCAAATAGCCTGTAATGGATCTCTTGGAATCTAGACAACTTGCTCAATCAGAGTCACAATATGCTTTGACTGTGCAATCTTCATCCTTAGACATGAAGATTCCCAGAGTGGGATCACTTTTCAAGTATCTAAGTAGATGGAAAGCTGCCTTCAAATGGGGTTCTCTGGGCTCTTCCATGAACTGACTCAAGTGTTGAACACTATAAGCAATATCCAGTCTAGTGTTAGTTAGGAAATTTAGCTTCCCTACTAGTTTCCTGTAGTATGTAGGATCTTGTAGGATGGTACCTTCTTTGGCTTTTAGCTTTATGTAGGGTCTAAGGGTAAAGAACAAGGTTTATGATCTAGGTAGTTATACTCCTTCAACATGTCCAGCACAAATTTCCTTTGAGAAATTGTTACACCATCATCCTTGTACATCACCTCCAGCCCTAGAAAGTAGTGCAGTTGTCCCAGATCTTTGATCTTAAGTTGCTCATGTAAGGAGTCTTTCAATTGTGTGATCTCTTCCTGATCAATACCAGTAAGTAGCACATCATCCATATATACTACAACATATACCAAGGAATTTCCATTTTTCTTATAAGAGTGAGTAGTCATTCATGGAGTTTGTATATACTTTTGAGCACAAAGCCTTAGTCAGCTTTGCATACCACTGTCGACTGGCTTGCTTTAAACCATAGAGAGACTTGTTTCGTTTGCATACCAGTCCAGGTTTATCCACAACAAGTCCAGGTGGAGTCTGCATATATACTTCCTCATTAAGGTCTCCATGGAGGAATGCATTGTTTACATCTAGCTGAGATATACACCACCCCTTCTTCACTACCGTGGCTATTAATGCTCTCACTGTTGTCATCTTCACTACTAGGGAGAATTTCTCTGTGTAGTCAATTCCTGCATATTATGTGTAGCCTTTCACAACCAATCTGGCCTTGAACCTTTCTATACTACCATCAGCTTTATGCTTCACTTTGTAAACCCACTTGCATCCTATTGCTTGCTTCCCCGGTGGTAGGGCTACCAGGTTCCAAGTGTGGTTGGAATATAGAGCCTCAAATTCCTGTGTCATTGCAGCTTGCCATGCATGATCAACAGTTGCTTACTCATATGATGATGGTTCCCTGTCATGACAAACATTTCTCACAAGAACTTGACTGTTAGGAGTTAATAGATCAGAGGCAACATGATGGTTCATAGAAAACAATGCATTAAGGGAGTTAGGATTTGGTTTAAGTTTAGGTAGAGAATGTACATAGTCTTGTAAATAACTAGATGTCTTGTGTGTTCTTGAGGACTGTCTCAGCTGCATGGGTTCTGCATGAGGTTGTTCAGTATGATCTTGTGATGGAAATTGTATTGCAGAATTAGGTACTATGGAGGATGATGAGGAGTGATCATGTGTAGGTGACATGAGATTAGTTGTGTTGTCAGCATTACTCCTTTGAACACTCAAATGTTCAGATGTTTGCTGTGTAATGTTTGTACTATAAGAAGGTTGCTCACATAGAAGTTCAATAAAAAGAATTGAATGAGGGATACATTATTGGGGAGATATATTCATATTGGTTGCAAATGGAAAGATAGATTCATTGAAAACTACATCTCTGGAGACAGTGATCTTTCTAGTGGCTAGACTTAGGACTTTGTACCCCTTTGTATTGAAAAGATAGATAACAAATACATGTGGTGTTGTTCTAGGTTCGAATTTGTCTCTATGAGGTCTAGGTACAGTAGGGTAGCACAGGCAACCAAAACTTTTTAGGTGAAAGTACTTTGGCTTTTTCTTATACAACAGTTCATATGGAGTTTGATCATTAATGGATGTGGAAGGGAGTCTATTTATGATGAAGGTTGCACAGAGTATACATTCACCCTAATACCTTAAGGGCATTTTAGATTGAAAGAGGAGAGCTCTAGCAGTTTCAAGGTGATACTTGTGCTTTCTTTCCACTACACCATTTTGTTGTGGAGTGTAGGGGCAAGTTCTTTGATGTATGATACCTTTGGATTGAAATAACATGTTTGTTTCTGCATTGGTGAACTCTAGTCCATTATCTGTTCTCACAGCTTTGACATTTACTCCAAACTGATTTTCCACCAGACTAATGAATCCCTTAAGTACTTGATGGGCATGACTCTTACTGGATAGGAGATGAGTCCAAGTGGACCTAATGAAGTCATCCACAATGGTCATGAAATATTTGTACTTATCATGTGTGGGCACATGATATGGTCCCCATAAGTCAACATGTAGGAGCTCAAAAATCTTATTGGTTGTGTTAGTTCTCTGAGGAAATGGGAGCCTTTCCTGTCTGGCCATTGGGAAGATGGTGCAATTGAAAGGTTGTTTGGAAGAAAAGGTCACATGAATAGAGGAGATATTTTTCATTCTTACGAAGGGAACATGACCAAGTCTGTTATGCCACAGAACATCTACACTGTCTCCAAAACACATATGAGAAAATGTTCTAGTAGAATTAGATGATGAATTCACAGAAAGAAATTGTTCTTCAATACCTGCACTTGAACTGTTTACAATTGAAGATGAAACAAAACACTTATTGACATGAGATGGTGTATCTACAATAGAATGAAATGAGCATTGCGTGTTACAAGTGTAGTGAGTGACAGGGGTGGACAAGAAATCAATGGCATTTGCTCCGGGATTTGCACTGTTGTTCTTCAAGCACCTTGGGCACAAGATGTAAAGCCCATCTTTGACTCTACCAATCACCAGAGGCCTCTTCATTGAAGGGGCCTGCATTATACAACAGTGTTTAATGAAGGCAACAAGACAACTAAGATGAGAGGTTAGAGACTGAACAGAGATTAAGTTGTATCTAAAAGAAGGAATAAGCATTACTCTATTCAGAGTGATCTTAGGAGTAAGTACAACATTAACAATCTCAGTCACCTTCACTTTGTAACCATTAGGGAGAATGACAAGTAGAGGATAAGGTAGAGTTACTATATTGGTCAATAAGGATCTATTAAAGGTCATGTTATTTGATGCCCCTGAATCTATAATCCAAGAGTCAGCCTTGTTTTTGAAACATTCACATGAGAGTTTCCCAAAATCAATAGAGGAGGTGCATGCTATGATACCTGCAAAGTTTACTAATGAAGTGTGGCATTGTCTGAGCTGTCTCTTCCTCCTCCTGATTGGAATTGCTGTAGTAGGTTCACAAGTTGACTGTATTCTTCCTTTGTGAGACTCACATTTTGAGCATTGCAGTTCTTATCACCAGTATGCTGAGTATTTGTGGTTGCTACATGTGCATTAGCCATTCCTCCATTTCCCCTATTGAACCTGGTACTTTGGCTCACACTAGAATTATTCCCATAGTTATAGTTTTGTCTTGGATTTTGATTGAAACTGGTAGCTTGATTGTGGCTTAGATTTGGATTCTGATTTTGATTGAAGCCTTGAGGATAACCATGAAGTTTATAACACTTCTCTTTTGTGTGTCCTCACCTTTTGCTGTAATCACAGAAGGGTCTGTTTCTATAGTTATGAGAGTTATTAGGAGAGTAATTTGTCTTGAACGATGTTGTCCTGCTTGTGTTGACATTTAGGGCTGATGGCTCAAGAGCTAAGTGATTATGAGGCTTAATTTCTCTCTGTCTTTCCTCTTGGATTAGTAATGAGAAGGCTTGTGCAATTGTGGGAAGAGGATTCATCATGAGGATACTACCTCGAACCACAGTATATGTCTCATTTAATCCTATAAGGAACTGTATTAACCTTCTGTCCTGTTCTGCTTTATGCATACTTTCCCTTGCTCCACATGTGCAATTTTAGGTGCAATGAGACCTAGCAATCAGAGTAGTAAGTTCTTCCCACAGCTTTTTTATCCTTGGGACAAATCATTAATCTCCTTTTGAATCTGGTAGAGCTTTGTTCCATTTGTTTGATGATATCGATCTTCAAGCTCTTTCCACAACTCGATTGCATCTGTCACATACTCAACACTATCTGCAATTTCCTTCTCCAAGGAATTCAAAATCCATGAAGTGACCATATCATCACATCTCTCCCACAATCGATAGCTTGAGGAGTCAAGATCTGGCCTTTTGCAGTTCCCATTGATAAAGCCTAGTTTATTTTTCATTGATAGGGCTCTCATCACACCTCTTCTCCATGAGCGATAACCAAATCCATCAAATGGAACAGGAACCAGTGCTATTCCCGGATTATCAGAGGGATGCATAAAAAGGATTGCTAGTGTCAACAGTTGGCTGATTAGGAGATTCAGGCATGGTCGGCGTAGACTGCTCATCATTTCCGACAGTAGCCATCTCTTACAAGATGTAAAATTCGGCTAATTAACCAATAGAAGATTCTAAGTACAGATCTAGAATTCTGATGGAGAATTCTAAGAGGTATGAATTGAAATCGATGAGAACGAAGTTTGCATGCATATGATCAAAATAAAATCGAGGACGATGAATCTAGATTTAACAAATCTAGGAGAATAAATCGGAACTTCTGACCTTGCTCTGATACCATATCAAAATTCCGGCAATGAAACAGTAATTTCCACCTTAGCTGAGCTGCGAGTGCCCCAGCATCACTGGTGGAAGCTTCACACCATGAACTCGATGGTATTCGAAGAAGAAGAAGGAGAAGATAACCAAATGAACATTCTGGAAGAAAAGGAGATTCTACTACATTCATTCTATTTCTCAATTGAGTGAAACTCCTCCCACTACATACAAGTGTAAGGACAAAGTTAACTAACTAAAATCAACTGACAGCTGTCACTACTCTTGACTAACTATACTTAACCACTAAGCTAACTAACTAACGCTAACAAAACTAACAAAGCTGATTATATAGGCTAATGGAGAATAATTAATCTTAACAGTTTTAACTGGTCGAACAATCAATTTATTATCGACCCAGCTTCTGTCAATTCATCAAAGCATCCACATGCATTCAGCGTTTAGTAATTGGTCATCACATGTATACAATAAGTTGATTTATCAACAAGAAAAAAAGATTGATTTATCGTCATACATAGAAAACGATAACCATGATTGCACATCAACTTAGTCAGTAGGAAACTCCAATTGTTCAATAATATTAATAGTAGTAGCACTTTTTTTTTTAAAAAAAAAAATCATCAAACAACGTCTTGGCTCTTGCCCTCATTGGCCTTATTCCCCAAACAATGATCACTACAATCCATACATCGCCAGCATATTTTGCCCCTCAGCCACCTACAGCAATCTCTCTCGCCTTTGATGCTATCAAGCGGCGTTACTGGTTTACGATTCATGCAAAATCTTCCCACTATACACGAAAGAATAGCAAGAACAGTTAACACAGAGATCACAGCGAAAAATGGCCCTATGGACCCCGAAGATTGCCAAGCGCTATTCGGCCCAGCTTCAGGATATGGCACTGATTGCTGAGGTTGCTGCTGCTGCTCCATTGGTTGCTGTTCATTTGGCCAAATCGTCGAAGCTGTGTTTGCCATCTCTCGTTAGCTTAATTAACAAACAACACACAGATATTTATACACAACAAAAGGCAGAAATTAAAGCAGAGTCTCTCTGTTCAGTTGTACAAAAGTATTTAATTTGTATGAATTGTAGTGACAAAATTAAAAGGTACGTACGACTTATAGGCGTTGTGCTTTAACTGCTGCGCGCTTTTTCCAAGAGCAGAGTGGGATTACAACATGGAAAGGCAAAGGGAATTCAGGAGTCTTACGTAGATTATTTCTACTTTGCATGTAATTGTGTTCTTCATGTGCTTTTCTGAAATGGATTATATGACTTTTTACGTAAAGATAACGATCGGCAGGCTTAAAGCTTCAAAGTTTGTCCCCCATGTGGTTATACTTTGATCTTTTTTCCCTTCATTCTTCTTTGCTAAGGCATAGATAGACCAAGACACCACGTGGATAGTAATTAGTCAAAGAAGCTAAATAAAATATTTTTAGACTATTGGTATATTGTTTTAATACGTACTAGCAGGTTACCCACAAAATTTGGCAAATTACTTATCCCATTTAATTACTAAGGACGATTTGTTATTTCTAAGGAATCCAATAAGTGTACATATTTCCTTTTAGAGCGCGAAACCTAAATAGCAACTTTTTGGACTCAAACATGTTTCTACAGTTTAAAAAAAAAGTTACTTTTCTAATTAAAATGCGGTATTATACTGCATTTTACTTTAACCTAATTTTAGCCGTTATCATGCGTTTTGCCCACAGATCTCAGAAACAGCTTTTCCACTGACCGTATAGTATGCATTCCCTCTCTCCTCTTTACTGTACATTTCTTGCAACAGTCAGCATTTTCTTTTTTCCCTTCCCCTTTACCTTAATATTAGCAGTATAAGAGGATTTTTTTTACATTGAGAAAGAAGTTCAAGAAAGATTTATAATGTTATACTATATGTATAACATTTTTGTGTAATATTAATATTAAATCTTATGATTTATAAACTTGAGATTAAGAGAAAAATAAAAGGTTTAATCATTAAAAGATTTTTCTTGTTCTTATTGTAATTCGTATCTCTCTAATTGAGTTAATTTTATCCATGGTCATTGAACTTTTGTGTTTGTTACCTAAAAGTCACTTTTCTTTTTTTGGTTACGTAAAAATCATTCAACTTTGTGTTCATTACACAAAAGTCACTTTTCTTTCTTTTCTTACACAAAAATCATTTTACTTTGCTCTAGTTATCACAAAAGTCATATTTTTACTTGAAAAGTCTATTATGCCCTTGTTAGTATATAAACCTTCATATTTATGTAATACCTTCTATATTATATACTATATAATATACTTTTACCTATGTATTTTATTTATTAATAAAATAACTTAATATTATTTTATTTATTATTTTTATAAGTTATTTTATTTGAGTTCGTCTTACTATCTAACCTCCTATTAGCTAGTTTTTATTATTGTGTCTCTTGTAGAATGGTTGTATATTGAGGATGCATCAATTTTAAATATATAATTGTATATTTTAGAATTAACTTTTCGAATTATTCATGTTAGTTTATATGAAGTAAGTAATATTCAGAGCTTATTATGTTTCTACTTTTAATAAAACAAACTATGCACGGATATGGAATATTTAAAATATTTAAAAAAAATTTAGTGAGGTAAACAAAAAGCAACGCCTTTGCGATGGAGACATTTGTTGTCACTAATAAATTAATTTTTCATCACTAATTAAAATATAATAGAAAATCTAGTCAGAAAATAAAATATATATAAAATAATTAATCATGGATATTGGTGATGATTTATAGCTACGAAATTTTGAATTCGTAGGTAAATATAAATTCTGCGTGGCTAATATGTGAGCACAGCTACATATTAAATTATTTGCGGCAAAACACATTACATCTTTTGCCACAATATATTCCTTTGTGGCTAGTATAAAAGATAGCTACAAAGTTATTTTTTTGTAGCAAAAGAATAATTTTTTTAGCTACAAACACAAAAATTTTCGTGGCAATAATTTTATCAATATAGCCACACCATAAATTTTCTTGTAGCAATATGTATTAATCCTTAACCATAAAATATTAAAGTTTATAGCTAACTTTTTGCTACGCATGCTACGGAAAAAAATATTGTAGCTAAAGTGTTTAGTTACGGAAGTTTTTATATTTAGCTTCGATATACTTCGTATATATGCGTAATGTTATAATGTATTGAGAAAAGTCGATCCACGTGTGTGTGTTTTTTTAAATGAACAGACGTTCGCATCTATGTATTGATTTTGCTTAGAGACAGAGGCGATAAAAGATTTAGACTACGTGAGTGCTTTACATAGTTTGAGTCGAAATGAATTTGGTTGAACTAATGGCTATGGCTACACCTACACTGGTTAAACTTAAAGTTTTGTGGCAAATAGAAAATTCAAAACCATCCACTTTGAAATTTGTGTGTACTGCACCGGCTACATTTATGAGGAATTTTCAGAAATCACTATTGTTTAGTGGCTATTAACTTTTTATAGCTATCATATTCATAATTACTTCCTATAGCTACTATTCAGTTGTTATGGTAGTATATTCGCTGTATTTGCGCTGCTGTATTTGTGAATACAACAGCAAAAAGCGCCTAAAAATCATGGCAGTCCAGCTATATGCGCATGTATTCATGAATACAACAGCAAAAAGCGCCTAAAATCAGGGCAGTCCAGCTGTACACGCATGTATTCACATGTATTCGCGCCTTGTATGCATGAATACAACAGCAAAAAATGCCTAAAATCAGGGCAGTCCAGCTGTACGCGCATGTATTCACATGTATTCGCGCTGTTGTATTCATTAATATAGCAGTAAAATGCCTAAAATCAGGGCAGTCCAGATGTACGCGCATGTATTCACATATATTCGCGCCATGTATTCATGAATACAATAACAATCACCTTAAAAATAGGTATATCCAGCTGTCTAAGAGAGAGGAAAAACATAAATAGTGTATTTCATGTCTTATTTCATGCCTCAATGATAGTATATACCATAAATACTTACTTTGCTATAAAATATAAAAAGTAGCTATAACAAATAGTATTATAAAATAATCTTAATTTATAATAAATAAGATGTATACCATTACTATAAAAGGTAAAATTTCCTACTTTTATCACGGGTCGAAATGAGAACCTATCTAGTTATGACAAACATTAGGCGGCCCATATTGTTTTTGGTTAAACAGTCTTCATCTCATTAAGCCTAAATACATTTCGTGGCTGAAGCCTGAAGGCGGGATTGTCACTTTGTCAGGCCCGCAATTGCAAAATATTAGTGGGCTACTACTAATACTGTTGTACCAACATCTCAAATAGGGATTTTTACATAGGGAAATTTTCGTTCCTATACCATATAGGAAACTATATTACGAAAAATGTTCATAATTTGCAAATTACCTGTCTTGCTAACAGTAATTCTACAAAATATAAACAACTCATTTAAAACAGAATCCTGTTAGCTGTACAATTCCTTTAAGAGGCGCGCGAATGTTGAGATATTAAGGATTCTTCCAGATTTTATCAAACGCAAATCTCGCTATTTAATTTCGCCCGTTTCTCTCCAAAATTCACTACTCTGTTTTTACGACAATACTCTGTTTCACTGATTTTTCTGATTTCACAAATCAAAAGCGACTAAATTAGCTACAATTCTTCTGTAACAACCGCAATTATGTCGAAAATCCCAATTATGCTTCAACTGAATGGGAATTGGGATAGCTATGGGAGATATAGAGACTTTCACGTCGATGAAATTGTAGTCGGCGAGGATGCGAGTTATAGCCTATTGAATTCTACAATAGCAGAGCATCTAATGATAGATACATCCGAAAAAATAATAGAAATCAAATACATTGTCAACGAACATTGTCCTCCAATGGAAATTAGGAACGATATGGGTGTTCGTGTATACATGGAGACGAAAAAGGAAAACAAAAGCTTAGGAACATATCCGCTATGTATAACAGTACGTGATTTCAATTTGGAATTGAGTATCACCAATTCGAATACAGTTGCAGGTTTGTTCTATTACATTACTATCGAATTTTGGTTGTATATTACTTATCTACAAATTATCTACAATATTTCTACAAAAAACTACATGTCAAAGTCTATATATATATATTAGTATTGAATTTCATCCTATCTATAATATTTCTACAATAAAACTACATATCATTTGTAGCTCAATATGAAATACAGAATTTCAATATTTCTACAAATTAACTACAAAATATCTACAAAAGACAAAAGATAATTTGTAGATATTTTGTATTCTGATTGTATATGAATTGTTTTTTATTTGTAATGTAATTGTAGGCGAGGGCTTCAATAGATCATATCCATACAGTGATAGATGGTGTGAAGCTATGTTGTTTGTCTTGAAAACAAGAGATGTAGCTGTGGGCAATTCCAGCTTGATGAACTTCCTTGTGCACATGCTTTGGCTGATTTAAGGCACATGAATGAGTCTTATGAAATCTGTTGATGAGTTCAGGAGAATTATATTTGATGTGTAATAGCTTAGGCACCTTCAACTCTTAATGTAGTTAGTTTGAAATTATTTTGTTTAATTAGTATGCTGTATTGAGTTAATACTTTCATAACTTGATTGGTTTGTGAATGATTTCTATATATATATAATACACAATTGTTTTATTATCTCTAGCACCCACCGATAGTTGTTAATGATCGTTACAATTTATCTACAAAAAAATTACAAAATAACTACATAATCTGGAGTTGACAGAGTAACTATATAATAATTAAGTTGAAAAGGAGTTAACCAGTAATAATAATTAGATCAAGTACTATTTACTTTCAACAAGTGAAATATAAAAATAACAGAATGTTTCCCCATTGTTGGAACTAGTATACTGGATAAAATAAAAAAACAAAGAATAAAATAATTGCAGCACAAATCTGCTACAATTAAACTTCAACAATTTTGTTCATAAACTTGTCTACTATCTTTCTACAAAACTAGATTCAACTAAACAATTTAACTACATGTTCCATACAAAAAATTGCAACTAATTCTTCTTCCTCCAGACTTGTAGTTTCTCGTTCACAACTGGT